AACTCTCAAGAAGTTTCGTCCCTCTGCCACCTCCCCCAGACCACGTTCTCTCATCCACTTGCATAAGCTCGCCAGGTATGTCATGCATTTATTTCCCTTGTCTCTCTTTCAATCTATTCGGCCTGTGATTATCAAATTCTCCAGGCCCTTCTTTCTCATTACATTTTCAAAAAACTCTAGCTAACTCTTCCTTGTGTCAAGTATAAGCTTCCTCCTTGTTTGCATCTTCTCTCTGACCTCATCGCAGCTAACACACTCTTATGGAGCCATATCTCTGACGCCTCGAGTCTATTCTTTGAGGAGACTGTCTAACATTCGCTACTGTAAAGGTAGACAGATGTCACGTAGGAGTTCAGTACTTTTCTCTTTGTTACTGATGCGGGGTCAAAGTTGGGACCACAGAAGTAAAACACGGAACACGGATTAGATGTAAGAAAGATATATTAACAACAGGTTACAGAGGTAGTGTAAGCGGAGCTTACTATATCAATCTCTATGTCACTCAGTGTGTCTCGCTCTGTGTGACGATATTTAGTCACCCCCCACGAGGGTGTCATGTGGCACAAGGCCTTTTTAACGTCGGCATTCCGAGCCATTAAGCTCGGCCAAAAAATAGCCCATTGAACACTTATAAACGGATTCAGGGCCGGTTTTACCTCCCCGAAGGAGACTCCGCCCTTCGGCGTGTCCTCCTTCGGGTTTCTCCGGCCCGTAGGAAGAGAGTTGAACCGAACAGTGAAAGTGAACGACTGACTCGCTCTGTGTGACGATATTCAGTCACCTCCCCACCCCACGAGGGTGTCATGTAGCACAAGGCCTTTTTAACGTGGGCATTCCCGAGCCATTAGGCCCGACCAAAAAATAGCCCATTCGAACCCGTAAAACCGTAACCCAGTTAAAGTGAACGACTGACTCGCTCTGTGTGACTCTCTGGAGTGCGATGTCGCCTACTTAATATAGGCCTGGAAGAGTCTATTGTGTAGGTAGTTTCCGATGTCACAATAGTTATCAAAGAAATCCTCCTATCTCGCAATATTCTGGCCAGCATTTGGAATACCTCCTTGGCCATCCCAATATGTCTATGGATCCCAGTGTTGCCCGTACCGTCCTCCATCAAAACACCATGATGCTTGATTTTGGGGTCTCCGACTTGCAAATCGCAATTCAAGCTCATCATTTTATTGATGACCCAACATTCTGTCTTCTTGTAGTTTATGCTTAGTCCCTTCTTCTCGATCTCCTTCGCTACCTACTGTAGGAGGTCTTGTAATTTCTTTTCCGTCTCTGCTATCAATACTGTGTTATCCGCGTATCATATGTTGTTAAGATTGTGGCCGCCAATGCTGAATCCCGGTATGATTTCCAATTATCTTAGAACTGCTTTGCTGTATAGGTTGAATAGGCCCGGTGAGAAGACATATTCTTGCCTTACACACTTTTCTGTTTTTGTATATTCGCTGAACTCGTTCTCTGTGCGCATGCTTGATGTTCGCTGCCAGTATAGGTTCTTGATTATTCTAATATCTTTCCCGAATATATCAAGGTTACTGAGCAGTTCCATCAGATCCTTGTGGCGTATCTTGTCGAAGGTCTTTGCGTAATCTATGAAACATAGATACACGTCCTACTGCATTTACATTACCCTATTCTGAGCATGAATATCGCGTTTCATGTTCTGGTGACTTTACCGAACCCGCGCTGTTCTTGTCCTAGCTCTGGCCTGATTCTGCTACACGCTCTATTCATCAGAATACGGATGATGAGCTTTGTTACATGGCTCATTAAGCTGATTTTTCTGTGGATTTCACGGAAGTAATTTCTTCACGTTTCTACATTTTGTAATGAGCTTTACAAACTGTGCTCCAATAACTTGGACCGATTTTAATGTGAATTAAGTTTAACCGACTCATGATTTTTCTTTCAAATTTTGGCGGACATTTGGGCGATATTATTTTTCACACATAATTTCTATGACGTAAACAACATGGTCCAACTGAGAAATAAATAAATTTTCACAAAAAACTCTTAATTCCCTCTTAATGAAACACCCTTATATATGGTAGATTACAAGAGTAGTACCTCTTTCAAGATCAAAATGAGGTGTGAAATTCATAGTGACCATGCATTGCTTATCCCAATGTATGCACTTTCTTTTTGTTTTTCTCCTAGTGAACCTATCTATCTTTTGAATATATATATATATATATATATATATATATATATATTGAACATAGAGTAATTTCATTCAGGTTGCATGCATCAATATACACTTTCTTTAAACATGGACTGCATTATATTTATGTATATGAATGTACTCGTGGTTCCTAATAGAGAATCTGCAATAATTCCACCAAATTCTAAAGCCACATACGGCATCACGAGACAGGTATGGTCATTATCTTAATAACGGTAAATTGTATATACGATGTCTCTTTTTCTGTAGTGAGTACAACAGATTCTGCGAGTTGTTCCTTCGGTGATGCACTTTTGGATAATTGTTATAGCTATCAAAGTTAATCCACACGCTCTTTGCTCGGCATTAATGTCTTGTCTGAAATACGTTGCTCTTTAAAGTTCTAACTTAGAACCATGGCTAAGACTCTTCCCTTCCCCTATCATATGTGATGTCACCTAAACCTTCTCTCTAAAACTACTGAATAGGTTGGAGCTGATAATGTTTTGCTTCCATTTGTTTTCCTCCTGCTAATTCTGCATGAAGGTAAACCTCGCTGTAAGCCATTAATTCATCGCAATTTTTAGGCGAGTAAGGCGGATTAGCGCTAAGGGGAATAATTACAGTGAATCACGTTCCTTTGAGATCGTCAATCATTATTTGAAGAACATGTTTTAAAAAGAAAAATTGGCTACAGATAATGAACTAAAAGTTAAATAGAATTATCGATCGGGAAGCTCAATTTCTAGTAACATGTGTTTTCAAACTATTCGGCTGAGGTCACGTCGGTTAATCGAAGCTACAACCGGTGGCTGAGGGAGAGTCACCAAACACTCTCATCCAGATATATTCCACAAAATGGGAAAATATTCAATGTATCGTGTTTCTTTGTTTCTTTGAACTTCATTAGACTAAAGGAATGTATTTATTGATAGAATTATATATATATATATATATATATATGTGTGTGTGTGTGTGTGTGTGTGTGTGTGCTTGTGTGTGTGTGTGTGTGTGTGTGTGTGCAGATGGAGGGTGAAAATATAAACGAAAATGTCTATTGTTTTGTTAAATGATATGCATAGAGTTCAATCATATTTTTAGATTGAATCTTTCAAATTTTCAAACAAGTTGTTTTGATGTATCGATAAATTTGCCAAAATGCATATTAACTTGTATATTAACTTATTTTTCCCCAGTACTTTCGAATGTCACGCCAATCATTTTTCAAGAATTTTTCTCTGAAATTACTCAACTGGTTTTTAATTCTGGCTTTCTCACATTTGATGGAATGGAATTCAACACACCCAAAGTGACGTCAGATAAGCGGCCAAACTGAAATATATATATAATGAGGATCTGACAATTGATTGAGTTATGAAATTTTGTGCGATAATCTTGTGGCACTTAAGAGCCGCTAGTGATTTACAAAGGACGCCGCAAGATTAAGAATTGTGGGAAGAGATCACTGTTAGATTGGCTGACCTTTTAGATCTTGCTCTCGCTCCTTGAAGACGATTCAGACTAGCAAATTGAAAACGGCTGAGTCCACTAAATATCTCTCTCTCTCTCTCTCTCTCTCTCTATGTATATATATATATATATATATATATATATATATATATATATATATATATATTTCGTGCTAATACGAATATTTACTTGACAGACACGGTGGATAAAATAAATAAAGGTTTATTGAAATAACCAGTAAATTAAGAATAAATGTAACAGTTATGCACAATATCGTCGCAAGTCAATTCATTAGTGAGTGCTACTATTGGAAGGTTGGTAGTTCTCGCGTAAGTCGTGCTCAACAGATCCCAGCTAGATGATATCTAGCAACTGCCCCACGCAGTCACATATGGCAATAGGCTGAATTTAATGTGGGGTTCCCATGCCCGTAGGCTGGGCGAAAAAGTCCCAGTAGACACCGCATAAACGGCGTCGGGTCTGTCTACCTCTCCGGACATAACTCTGCCCTTCGCCATCCCTTGCACGGTTTCATCTCTGCTCGAAGGCAGAGAGTTCGACCAGCACAGCTGGAAAAGATTCCAACTAGTGTATTTCCTAACATCCCCACGCGATAAGATGTGGCATAAGTCTGGCTTTAATATGGGGCATCCGATCCCATAGGCTCAGCCAAAAATTCCCATAGACTCCGTATAAAACGGGGTCGGGCAGCTATTACCAGAGACGAGACTCTGCCCTTCGGCATAGCCTAGTCTGGTGATGCTCTCTGCTCAGATGCAGAGAGATTTTCTATCACAACTGAAAAAGATTCCAGCTAGAGTATCTAGCAACTGTCCCACGCAAGGCCGAATTTAATGTGGGGTTCCCGGGCCCGAAGACTCGGCCAAAATTCCCCATATACTCCGCAAAAACGGGATCGGTTCGGTCTACTTACCTGAACGTGACTTTGCCCTTCGGCATAGCCTCGTCCGGGTTCCTCTCTGCCCGAAAGAAGAGAGTTCGACAGCACAGCTGAAAAAAAATTCAGCTAGATTCTGTAGTTTGTTGACTTACAGATACCTACAGGTAGGTAGTACCTATAATGTAATCGCTCATGGGGGTTTATTACATTATATCTCTCACACACACACACACATATATATATATATATATATATATATATATATATGTATATATATATAGGCGAACATTTTTCATGCTAAGCTCAATCGTCAGGTCTGGCGATTGCATCTAGCATGAAACAGCCTGTCGCCTCTAAGTGTTGACTTCAATGTTCACTTTTATATTTACACATGCTCTATCTCTGATATTGAACACTTTATCCCATAAATATAGCGCAACTTAAGAGTATACTTCTTCATATATATATATATATATATATATATATATATATATAGAGAGAGAGAGAGAGAAAGAGAGAGAGAGAAAGAGAATTGATAGATAGATAGATAGATAGATAGATAGATAGATACTGAATTTCAAATTTTTAACGAGGTAACACTTTTCCATCTTATAGAAAAACTACTTGTTGGAATTTAACGAAATTATCAGAGAATGACGACACTCTGTATATACACATACTCTGTAAAAACTTTAAGGTTCTAGAAAACGGAACAGAAATTACGTTCATTTACCTAGTTTATTTAAATTATTAATGTGTCAAATATATTACGTGTTAATATGAGATATGTGATTCTTTTTTTTTAAATGACTTCGAAACATTGAACATGTCTATTTCTGAGTCTCCTCTGATGTAATTTCACGTGATTCGCTGACTAATTCCTGCCATGTCATCCTTGCTTCTAAGTTGGCGTCCATTCTCATAAACACGTCGCTCAGAATACTCCGCATGCTTTCCATTGGGTTTAAATCTCGAGCATTGACCGGCCATTTTATCTTCCGAGATCCACAGAGGCATACTTTCTGCAGGTACTCCGTAGGATTATGTGCTGAGTGCGAAGAAGTATTATGTTGCAAAAATACAATGGTTCCCCTAAAGGTGATTCTTTGGTTTTTTTTAAGCCAAAATTCCAGGTAGTCTTTGAGGAAAGCTAGATAAGCATCTGCGGTTATTTTTCGAACTGTAAGGTACTCTCCACTGACCAACCATAATACCTCCAATAATAATACCAGCATAAATCATCATAATTGTTGGCGTGTGTAACGTTGATGACGATCTGGTCCAATTGCGACTCAACCTTTGCTCCAGCCATTAGGTCCATCAAGTGTTGCATGACATTCAACTGCAAAAAGAACGTTCTAAAAAATCAACATTCATGCTCTCGATTGCCTATTTCAAACGCATTTTTATGTGTACTTTTGTCAGTCGAGGCTTTGTCACTGGGCTCACTGATGTCCCCACGTTTTTCAGAAGACTAGAGAGAGTATTTCTGGGCACTGTTGCTTCTAGAATGCTCCTGAAAACTGCTCCGCTGGTCAGGGCTGTGTTATTTCGTTTCACTTTTCATTCGTGACAAACAATGAACGTCGGGAGTGACACTTATCGGCTTTCTTACGAAGCTTCTCAGGAGATGCAACAAATCTTCACAGTTTGGTGATATCTTTCAATTATTTTGGATATTTCTAATGTAGATTTGCATTTGGAAAGTTCGGATGTTATCATATGAAGGAACAAGTCACATTTTCCATCCATAATTGCACGATGACACTCATGATGACACTTCTATATCGTGTTAATATCGAAAATGACTACCGTTTGTTTCCTGTTGCGCAGAACAATACAGTTTTTATACAGTCTGCGCATATACGAATTCCCATTATACTCTGAAAATTTCGTTAAATTCCGACTGGTAGTTTTTGGACAAGATGAGAAAATGTCACCTCGTTAAAAAATTGGAAACGCAGTGCATATACCAGTTGTAATATTAAAACACTATCGACAAAGTCCATTCAAGAACCAACAACAGCACGTTGAAAAAGTTTTAAAAAGAAGGAACGATAGATAGGAAAAATGGATCAGAAGGTCGCATTAGTAAGTGGGTTTATCATTTCAACTTCCGCCACAGACATCAATTAGAAAAGATCCAACTCAATTCATAGGAAGTTTGGCACGTGACAGAGGAATTTCCTCTATGACAGTTCAAAGAGCAGTGAAAAAAACGCTGAAAATGAAATTGTATGTGAAACCTGTGACTCATCTTGTTACACCAAGACAAGAAGCTAAAAGATTAGACAGAAGAAGATCATCTTGAATACGTTGGACAATGATCCTGGAATAATAATATATATATATATATATATATATATATATATATAGAGAGAGAGAGAGAGAGAGAGAGAGAGAGAATGAGGCCCGTTGAGCTTTTTTCTAGACTCGATAAATTATTCAATTGTAATTATCTCAAATCCTCCTAATTTCTATCACTTGTATTTCCTTGCTTGAACCGGCTTCTAATGATGTGGATCGAGCGGCGCTATATCGAGTCTGATTCGCTACTCATCGTTACCGAGGCCCGTTGGAACATTTGGTATAATGTTTGCCTCATAACGTAACTGTCCGGCTTTCAATTCTCGGTAGTGGATGCGCTCTGCTGATGAGTCCCGAATATAGGACGAAACGGCCGTCCAGTGCTTTCTGCATTCTATTGAGGTTTCTTATAGACTCGATGATTTATGTAATTTTAATCATCTCAACTCCTCCTAATTTCTGTCACTCATATATATATATATATATATATATATATATATATATATATAGAGAGAGAGAGAGAGAGAGAGAACGAGTCCAGGTAACAGATCCGTTTTGTATATGATCCAGGTGGATCATAATAATTACAAATATTAAAACTGATCCAAAGAGAGCAGCATATACAGTATCTTCGGCGAAAAAATTACCCCAGCATGAGAATAGTCTATTTCGGGTTGATCTGAACACAACAGTCTTCAGCTCTTGAGTGTTTATCCGGAAGGAAAGGGATTAGAATTTCTTTTCAGTATCAGTTCCCCTCTGTGGGACTCCTTGTTTACGATAAGGGGCCTGTGTTGGTTATTGAGGGTTGGCGGGTACTGAGGTATCTCATTACAGGAGAAATAGTCTAGGGTTAGAGTTTATTTATGTCTAGTAGTCTGGGGTTGGTGCTTATATATGGCTAGAGTCTTGGATTGAGTTTATTTATGGATTATATATATATATATATATATATATATATATATATATATATATATATTAGCCGTAAATAGACTCAATCCCAGAATATATATATATATATATATATATATATATTAATCCCAGAAATGGATATATATATATATATATATATATATATATTTTAATATATTTTAATTACACATACCTGCCTGAATGTCTGAGAAATTTATAAACAGTAATTCGACTATCCTAACCAGAATCTTCTTTGGGGCTAAATGTTTAATATTACGTCAGATCAAATGATAGTTTCCATTAGGGTTACAAGTTTGATTCCTGTCTAAGAAGTTCATATTTTCTGCGAAATTTCTGGAACATTCAGGCTGGTAAATACTCTTTAATTAAAAAAAAACAAAAACAGATCAGTTACTTAAATAAATCATATCTATAAAAAAATAACACAAAAACAGAGAATATATTAATATATATATGTGTGTGTGTGTGTGTGTGTGTGTGTGTGTGTGTGTGTGTGTGTGTGTGTGTGTGTGTGTGCATGCGCGGGCGTGTGTGTACGCGCGCGTTCGCGATCGCGCCATTCGTTGGTTTCGAGAGACAATGGATCTGCCCACCGAAATGCTACGCCTCAGCTGCTGATTACTGTGCATAATATTATTGTTGTACAGGCCTACAGAGGAGTAACAGTCTCGGTGGCAACCAATGCATGTGAAGACACACTCCTCCGATGTCGATCTCTTGTTGTGTTTCCTTCGAGTACGTAAGCATATATCATAAACACAAATGGAATTCAAACAAGATTCTGCGATTCCTCAATCCGAGTCAACATCCATTATTCCACCGTGCGGTAAAAGATAAATAAATGAACGGATTGCCTCGAATTATCGCATAATAAATCCAGATGTGACAAAACTTTAACTGAGAAAACTGTCAGAATGAAATGAAAGTACTGTGAGAAAGTAAAGTAATTTGTTCCTTTCCGTCTGAAATGCTGGGATGAGCAGTTAGCATTATTCACGCCATTTAGATAAAGCCAATTTATATATCTTTGTTGTTGTCATCACACCATTTCGGCCATTATTCGCTCCGATCTTCATAACGTGATTTTCAGTCGTGATGAACTACAGGGAATTTAAAGAGAACCTTTCATTTAATCCACAATGAATAAATTTTTGCACGTTCCATGTCTTGGATATATCTGGTCTATTTCTTATTTTATGATTGCTTAGTTATTGCTCGCCTCACAGGGCACGAACCTGGTTTATTAACGTATCGGTTCGTCAATTTGGTGTTATATTAATTGCAGGTTCAATCCTTGGGCCGGGCAGTTCCTACTTGCGCTTAGGGGAAACAGGGTGTGTCATAAATAATGGATTGTCATGAGCTTCTAGTTCTTGACAACCTAATAGCATCTCTTTTAAAACCCCATTTCTCTTAATGTTTTCTGTTAATTTTTTTTCTCTTAATTTCAATCATATCACAGATTTTATCATTATAGATCGTTCCATGTTTTTATATATTCAAGTTCTCTCCTGTCGTCGTTCATCAACGCAAGGTATGGTCAGTACCAACATGTGTGGCTTCTAATGAATACCAGGTGCAGTAAGCTTGGATGTGCGAGTGGTGTAATGTATAATATCTAGGAAATGTTAACGGGAGAGCCGACTTCCAGTTTCCGTTGTGCTCGTTGAATTTACTTACGCGCAAATATCCTCAGGAATCCACCTCTTCTCCCCTTCTATATGTTCATTAATAAGGCTTAAACCATTATTTTCTACAAAAAATATTACAATCTAAAAATGTTTTCTATCTTTAAATAAAATGCAAAGGGTTGATAAGCTGTAGAAAATGTATGAATCAATCAGCATTCCATATTCTGTGTCATTCCTTGACATTGTTTGCTGTCACTTTTTCATCAGCTCACTAATTGCATCTGTCATCTATTTCTTTTATTTTTGTTTCGCTTTTCTTGAGATGAACTGGTTAGTCAATGTTAATAGAACGTCCACTTTGAATTCTTGATTTCTTTTCAACTTTTATATTTGTTATTGAACGCATCAATGTATTAAATGATTACTTTAATTTCTATTTATATTTCTGAAATGAGATACTATGTACACTATTTACATTATTCGGACTATTGTCCTCATCTTTGTTACCATATTTATTATAACGTTTCGGCCGTTATACGCTCCGACCTTCTTCAGGTGGTCGGAATGTCGAATTGAACCATTTATTTCGCTTGGTGGGTCTAATGGATATCAATTATTAGTTATCTCCTGTTAATTCACCTCTTCAAATTTTCAACTGCCTTAATCAGGTATTGAACTCACAATTATTTGGGTCCTGCC